TTGCACTATCAAGCTGGAAGTAAAATAATCGTCAGTAATATACTCATATAATATAGTTATATTGAGAAGCTTCGGTACTCATACTAAAGTCAATTATACCAACTATAGAAGCATTGTATAAAGTAGGTGATATACTGCAGATAACAACTGAAGATTTGATAAATCTGGCCATGCTATATAGTATCAATACATGGAGGGCTATATACACCAATATAGGAGCAAGAAGAGCAAAAGATCACCAAAATGAACCAATTTGGAAGAATTATAAGGTTGCTGCAGAAAGTAGAAAGAGAAGTTTAATAATACAAAAATAAATAACAATAGAAAATATTGTATAATATAATACATAATTGAAAACTAATTAGAAAAGTTGAAACTGAGATATGGATTGTATTATAGCCGCATCCCAAAAGGTAGTGTGAGATACAAACACAATGACAGCAATCAATATGTACTAATTAAAAAGAAAATTATGAAAATAAATAGTTATATAGGTGGAACATGTAATGATAAGTTGCTCCAACCAACCCTAGCTTGAAGTTAGTTTGAAATAGTTAACAGAAAAGTAATATAAAGAAATAAGGAGTACAATGCTGTATTGGGTGACTAGTAAAAGTAGCACAAATATAATTAAAAACTGTATATACAATTGTTCTGTAAAAAGGTGTTTATTATAACTAATAAAGTTTTTATGTTGGCAATATAAAAAAAAAACACACTTTTATATCTGGATAACATGTCAGTCTAGAATTATCTCCATTTTTTTCAATATCAATCTTAATTTTTCATATTGATATTTTTAATATTATATAGTTTTAAGTTAGATATTAACTTGATAACTTGACTACAGTAAGATTGTTTAGTTATTTCTAAAAACCTTACTTTATATAAAGATAATTTTTATACTTTTTAAAGTTTGTCATATTTTCTTAAAAGTTTATATTAATTACTCTATTTGAATATAAGTCTTTAAAGTATAATTTTATATTTTCATATTAGTACAAATTAATTTTATCAAAGATACTATTTGTAGATATTGTGTAGTAAACTATTAAAAATTATAAAAATAAATTATAGCTTATTCAATATATAATTATCACAACTCTTTCTAACAATTACTTGGTCCAAAATTCTTATAGAAGAAAAATACAAATTTTGTTGAAGAGTCATGGTCTAACGTAATAGTTTGTCTAGAAGTTAATATATTGCTAGCAGGACTTCCCTATAGGTAATATTCGGTATGCAAGCCAAAAGCATTATTATACAAGATAACTAGCAGAAGATACCCTTGTATAAAAAATCTTGGTGGAGAAGAGAACTCTTTAGACACTCCTCTTTCTTCGTTGACGAAGCTCTTAGGCTATACTTCTTTGAAGAAACTGGGAAACAACAAAATATCCTATTATTTTTTTCAAGCCGCACTCTTTTTACTTGGTTAAGTGGTATCTTTTTACTCTCTTTTATCCTCTTGTCGGTCTTTCAAAAATTTCAACAAAAAGTGAGGATCTGGCTTACTCTCTCCAAAAAATCGTTATTGTTTACTTCCCAAATTCAGACAGATTAGTGGAATGCAACTACATATTTGTTTATAAATGAATATGCTACTTTTTTATGCGACTCAGCCTGGGAACTCTAATTACAGCAGCAGGTGGCTTGAGACACAGATCCTTGAACGACAGCAGCACCTGGCTTAAGATATGAATTAAGATAGGCAACAAAGTTATCTGAAGCTGGTGGGAAGATTGAAAAGTAAATTTAACGTTAAGGTGAAGCTTTATAGTAGAAATATATAAATGTTGCATTTGTTATATAATTTTTATCAGCCATGCACGGTTATAATAGTGCCTTTAGGGTTTTAGATTTCTTTTTATGTTTTTTCTTTTTCGCAATCAGTGTTTCTTTTTTTCTTTCTGTTTTTTCTTTTTTTCTGGTTATTTTTATTACTCTCTGTTGGAAAATTTCTCTCTTTTTGTCTTGTGCCCCTTGAGAAGAAGGAAGAATTAGAAGGAGAAAAAGAAATTCCAATGCAGTATACAACAACCTGTCAAATGATCGAGGGGGGTATCCTTTGATGATACAAAATCTAAAGAAATTTTAAATCCTGAGTGAGACTAATAGTTGTTATAGCAGGTCATATTGGATAGTACTTAGGTATATCTGGTGAGTTTTTTTAGATTAGAACTATTTACTATATGAAAAACATATATACTTTGTTATAGTGTATTCACATAGCAGTTCACAATAATAAAAGCAGAATCGCTTAAAAAAAAAAAAATTATAGCTTATTTAAATATCAAATATAAAAGTTATTAGCTTTATTATATCTGTATTTAAAATTTTGATTGAAGTTATTTTGATTACCAATATATCAAATTTAATGAATTTTTTTTTTTATTTGAATTTATAAAAAATATTAAATCTATTCACTTTCAATATTCTTTTTTTTATTTCAAAACTGTTAAACTTAACAAAAAGATTTTTACTTTCTGCCTCAAAAGATATCAGATTTTTTAGAATTATATTTATCATTTCTTTCTAGATTTTTATTATAATCTTCTCCAACTTCAATATTTTAGTATTATTCTCTTTAGCTTCAGTATTTCAAAATTATCTTCATTATCTTTAAAATTTTTAGTATTATTCCTTTTATTTTTAGCATTATTCTCTCTATTTTCAACATATTTAACATCATCTTTTTTATAAAGTTCATTTTCATTATCTTTATTTCTCAAATCACCTTAATACAAATAATTTACTTTTTTTTTTTAGCACACCAATATTTCACAAAATTAGTCTTTTTTAAGGCTTAAACATACAAATAAAACACCTTTGATATATATTTGAAGGCTATATTTTAAAAATATATATCAAATTCAATTAATCAAATATTAGTAAATTTTTTTCTTGAAGAATTAATTTATAAAATTATATGAGTACTTTTAAACAAATATAGCATTCAAGTATAGTACAACTTGGATAATGCTTATTTATAAATTATTATTGAATTATTATTGATATAATAAATACTAATATATTTTATAAAATGAAATTTATATAATAAACTCCTTTAAATATTAGTTTATCTTAGCAATTTTACTCTTCTTAAATATTGATTTATCTATAAATACCAAAAATATATAAAAGACATACATGTCATATTGTGTAAAATATTTCTTAATATAAATCTAAAAGAACTTTAAGTGATCTAGTTAGCATAATTAAATTAAAGAAAAGATATATAAAATGAATAAGTAAACTTTTTGAACTGACAGCTATTAATTTCAAGTGTATCGACTTTTTGAACAAGTAGTTAATTAATTTTAAATTTGTGAACTTTTACAGTAAATATAATATATTGTATACTGCACATTTAGTATTATATTGGTAAGGGTTTGGGCTCTATAGCTTAGTGGTTAAGCTGCCAAACCCCCACAGTATAAGCTAAGGTCCACGGTTCGATTTAG